ACCATGTTGACCAGGATGGTCTCGATCTCTTGACCTCGTGATCCACCCACCTCGGCCTCCCACAGTGCTGGGATTACAGGCTTGAGCCACCGCGCCCGTCCTTGGACTCATAACTTTTATGTTAATTTTATATTTTGTTAAGTTACTGACTGTATTTATTAGTTTAGACAAATTTTAATGTATTGTTCATGGTTTTTTATGTATAAGATCATATGATCCACAGACAGCAATTTTTACTTATTTCTCTTCAATTCCAATGGCTTTTTAAAAATGTTTTTGAGTAATTCTTGTGCCACACACTTTCAGTCCCACATTAAAATAGAAGCCTTGACGGTGGGCACAATATGGTTTTATATTGGTGTCTGTGAATTTGAAGGAGCAACAACTCCTTAAGCTTTTATAAACTGGCTTCAGGAGGCAAAGATCATTTTCTGTTGTGTCCCTAGGATGATGGGATGCCCTCAGAGTTTGTAGTGGAGGGGTTGTAGCTTGGTCACAAGGCTGCTGTGTCTGCACTACGGTCCACCTTTAGGTGGTGTGTTACAAAGGGTTTGGGTAATTGTAATTTCCATTTTATTTTTGGACAGATTGAATATCCTTCAGGACTTTGATCTGTAGGACAGGTTTCTGCAGTTGGTTCCATATATAATAGCCCTTATATCAGCAGATGAATGGGTATGGCTTTCACCGAGTGAGTACACAGAGTGGTCTCAGGTCACTGTGTGAATTTCTGTTTAGGCAAAAGTGGTAATGAAGTTTGGCTCAGAGATCTGGAACTGAGTTATTGAACTGCTTGAGGGGCCACAGTAAAAACTGTGGCTGTAAATGGGTACCTTCCTCCACGTCTCTGGTAGGGCAGGACCTCTCTCAGACTGTAGCTGGGAGGAGGTTGTAATAATTACAGGGTTGGCCAGGTGCGGTGGCTCAAGCCTGTAATCCTAGCACTTTGGGAGGCCGAGGCGTGAGCCACCGCGCCCAGCCCTTATTTTTATTTTTTTTTGAGATGGAGTCTCGCTCTGTCACCCAGGCTGGAATGCAGTGGTATGATCTTGGTTCACTGCAATCTCCACTTTCTGGGTTCAAGTGAGTTTCCTGCCTTATCCTCCTGAGTAGCTGGGATTACAGGTTCATGCCACCATGCCTGGCTAATTTTTGCATTTTTAATAGAGATGGGGTTTCACCTTGTTGGTAAGGCTGGTCTCGAACTCCTGACCTCATGATCCACCCACCTCAGCCTCCCAAAGTGCTGGGATTACAGGCATGAACCACCATGCCCAGTACCACATTTTCTTTATCCAGTCTATTATAGATGGGTATTTGAGTTGATTCCATGTCTTTGCTATTGTGAATTGTGCTGCAGTGAAGATACACATCCAAGTATCTTTATAATAGAATGATTTATATTCTTTTGGTATATATCCACTAATGGGATTGTTGGGTCCAATAGTATATCTGGTTCTAGATCTTGAGGAGTCGCCGTATTGGCTTTCACAATGGTTGAATTAATTTACATTCCCACCAAAATTGCCGGATATGCAGGTTTGTTACATAAGTAAACATGTGCTGTGGTAGTTTGCTGCACCTGATCTTGTTCCTTTTTAGGGCTGCATGGTACTCCATGGTCCATGTGTACCACAGTTTCTTTATCCAGTCTATCATAGATGGGCACTGGGTTGATTCCACGTCTTTGCTATTGTGAATTGTGCTGCAATGAAGATACATATCCATGTATCTTTATAATAGAATGATTTATATTCCTTTGGTATATACCCAGTAATGGAATTGCTGGGTTCAATAGTATATCTGGTTCTAGGTCTTAGAGGAATCGCCATACTGGCTTTCACAATGGTTGAATTAATTTATATTCCCACCAAAAGTGTAAAAGCATTTTTCTTTCTCCACAGCCTCACCAACACTATTGTTTCTTGACTTTTTAATAATCACCATTGTGACTGGTTTGAGATGGTATCTCATTGTGATTCTGATTTGCATTTCTTTAATGATCGCTAATGTTGAACGTTTTTTCATGTTTATTGGCCACATAAATGTCTTCTTTTGAGAAGTGTTTATTCTTGTTCTTTGCATACTTTCTTTTTTTTTTTTTTTTTTT